CATGCATATGACTTTTTTTTTCTTTCCTTTCGATTGTACTATAGCTCCAATTTGCATTATGTTTGCCATTTATTTTACATTACCAGACTTGTGCATGTTGATATATCTAAGCACTATATGCATGTAGATACATTGGTGACTGATGGATGACATGTTGACAGTGAGGACCATGTCACCGTATTTTGATACATATTATTAAATGGATCTATATTTGTTAATTATATTTAATTTCTATTCTAGATTTGATTTTAGGTTGAATTTACTACATAAATGCAATTTGGTTACTTGTATTTACTCCAAATTTAGTTGCATTCTTTTATCCCCTGTTCAAGAATTCATCTGATTATTCAGTTAACTTGCCGATTAATCCCTATACTTAGAGTCACTGAGTAGCCGATAAATTGATAAATCGTATGTTTAATTGATTAAATGTCCGATTAGTCTATTAATCCCCTACTCGCCAGCCAATAGAGAAGCTATCAGCTAACGATTTTCTCAACAATGTTTTTATCTATATAATAGTTAAGAGTTTTATCTACAGTGCATTTGTAAAACAAAATTCTCATGTTAGATCAAACAAATATCTTGGTTAAGCATGATAATAGATAATTTAAAGTCCAAAAATGACATACAGTTCGGTCTTTGGTAGACTCGATGTGACAACAGCCAGCATCTTCAATATGTATCAATTATTTTTTAACTCACAAATGTGATATTTTTTCTAAAAGTCTGCTCAACTATAGGGAAAAAACTATGTGACGCTCAAAGCAAATTATCGGGGAAACACATAGGTGAAGACAAGCGCAGAAATTAGTGCCGACCCAGTCTACGAGGGAGCCAGCCAGTTTTTTGTTGCTTTCACTGGTTTCCGGTTTTTTCCTTTGTTTTTATAGTTTTCACTTTTTCATTTTCTTTTGTTTCTTTTTTCCATTTTTCATTTCTTTTTCTTCATTCATTTTTCTGTTTCTTTTTTGGCTTTTTAGTTACTTTTTCAAAGAAAAATGATATTTTCAAAAATGTTTGAAAATTCAGAAAAATCATATTTGAAAAGTTTGCTCAAAATGACAAACAATGTTCGTGTTTTACTAATTTTGCTTAAAAATTACAAACAATGTTCGTGTTTTAAAAAATGTTGCTCATAAATTAAAAACATCATGTATTCTATTTTTTCGTGTTTTCCTTAAAAAACTATTTTCTCAAAAATATATTCAGAAATTTCAAGAAATGTTTGTGTTTCACAAAACATTCAGAATATCAAAAATAGTTCTTGTTTTCGAACTTTGCTCATAAATTCAAAAAATATTCAGGAATTTTAAATAATACTTGTGCTTTTAAAAACATGTTTAAAAATTAAAAAAAATCATATTTTCAATTTGTATTCACAAATGGAAAACTGTTCGGGTTTTCAAAAAATGTTTCCGCTTTTTCCCAAATTTTATGGACTGTCAATTAATCTTTGCCTGTTCAAATAAAATCGACAATTAAGTCGTGTTTTAAAAAATATTTGATATTTAGAAATAAACCACATTATGAAAAACTATTTTTTGATTTTTAAAATAGTTCACATATGTCAAAAAATGTTCAGAATTCCAAAAAAATTACATTTTAAACTGTTTTTGAATTTCAAAAAACGTTCACATTTTTTAAATTAGATTTGGAATTTCCTTTTTTTGCTTTTTCAAAAAATATTCAACATTTCTAAATTTTCACATTTTTAAGGAATAGTCTAAAAAATACGAAAAGTTTTCATATATGAAGGCTTATGTGTTCTATTAAACTCCACGCTATCTATCATCAGTAGCAACCGTCGGGTCGTGTGGCTAGCCATACGCGCCGGGTAGGCTGGGCTAACTGTGAGCAGAGCCTCTGTATCGCCCTTCTATTTCACGCAAAATGCAGGCAGATCCTATTTGATGTCTGTGAGCGTCCAAATGTCGTGGTTTCGCTGAAAGCAACATTTAGATAGGCCTGCCTTTTTCGGTTTTTCCATCTACTTCACCCGAAACGATCTTTTTCTTTTTCCGATCCCTAATTTAAATGAATATCGTCCGATTGGTTTGAGTTTGCATCAAATTTGATCAGCTTTGTTAAATTTTGTTTGCAATTCAGCCAGACATATGCTGCTAGCTTTGGATGGTCGGCTTCTGTATCTGTATTCGCGAACTGGTACCCGTCTGCGAATGGATACGGTGTCTGTTTTGTGGGTCAGCATTGGAGATGCACTAACAAAACTTACTAGTGGCATGTGGACTAGAAGCCACGCCACCAAGCCCGGCCCAGAACCAAGCCTGACCTAGCTTCCCCCTCCTTCATCCGTCTCGCATCTCTCACCAGTAGCAAAACAATTTTTCCAAAGAATACAAACTTTCTTTTTGCGGGATCGAAGAAAACAAACTTTAGCTATGTGATGTTCATCTACAAGGTGGAGGTCAGAATGATCGACAGTACTATAGGAGAAAGGGTAATTGGATTCCGATTCTTTGCCCTTAAATCACGTATTACACGAGCTATGCATGGATGTCAATTAGCGAGCAATATGCATGTGTAATAACCAGTCAACCAATGGTTTGAGCGTTGGTAAGTCGTCAACATCTCCCGAATGCTCGTGGAAGCACAGTACTGAGACTAGCATGAGCCGTTGCCTGCAGCTAGTGCGTGTGTGGAAGAGAATGGATCCAGACACTCCTACATCATCTGCTACCTGCAGCTAGTGCGTGTGTGGATGAGAATGGCTCCGGACAGTGATAGTACGGGTCAACGGACACCCACAGAAACCCGGACAGTGAACGTACGGGTCGCCGGACACCCACAGAAACCCGGCCAGCCTCAGTGCAAAATTCCAAAGCAAGACCGAACTGGCGTCGGGACCAAATTTTGTCATGGCCAACAGACGGCAACCAGGAGCCTTCGCCTCGGTTGGCTCCCATGAATAACACATTTTAGTGATGATACTTCCAGGAATTTACTTCTGTCGGGTTCTGCTAGCCCGTGTTCTTCTTAATTTGTCTACTTCATAGTCTTACTTCAAAGCTGCCATATTTATTTTGAATCGGAGGAAATAACATTTAGAGCATCTTCAATCAAATACAAGAAATCCGACCCCTCAAACTCCCATGGACGTGCCTGAGCGCGTCCACGGACATTGATCGGTCAGACCTCAACGTAACTCAATTAGGAATCCTCAAAATCATACAATTAAATGCAAGTGAAACCTAAACATAAGCGGAGCTCGCACGGCTCCGCCGTGTCCTTGTTCGGCGGCTGTCAGCGCCCATCGGAGTGTTGGTCCGGTCGTCGGCGATGTAGAGTAGGACATGTGACACGCACCGGCTCATGGACTCGAAGCGTCGCAGTCTCCCATGTCCTATTCTTCTTCGTCGGAGGGCATAGCTTGCACGTCGCTGGTCAAAGTGAGGTCAACTATGGATTTGTCATGGTCGGAGGCCAACACGTCAACCACGACGAGGTTGCGGCGCCCGGGGTTGCTGGTCACTCGTATCGGCGTCGGAGAGTGTGAATCGCCTCGCCTAGTTGCGAGGGCTGTCGCAGCCTCCCGTGCCTTCAGCCTCGCACGGCTGGCACCCCGTGCCATATTAGCCTCCGACTAAGACGGGGGACTACTTGGATAAGTTGGGACAGTTTCTCTAAGGCCAGCTGTTGAGTTAGTCGGTTCATAGGTTGTCGTAAAATATGGGTGTAGGAAGCCTAGACTCTGAGTCCGTTGATGAAAAGGGGCTGGGGAAAGCTTAAACCCTTACAGTGATGTAAGCGATGGAAGACGTCCTCACAAGCACACCAACAAAGGAGCTATGTCTCTACGGCGTTCGGACGCCAGACGGAGCGCACCGCCACAGGTGAGGGAGCAGTGACGCGCCTCGCGCCAGATCCAAGCGCCATTTGGGAGGACGTTATGGATTCCCGCTGGATCGAGTCTGGTCGTTGTCTGGTGTTCTCCTCGCTGGCGAGGCGGAGTGCAATGCGAACGGACATCTCCTTCTCCGGCCCGACTTGGATGAGGTCCCAATTCACAGATCGAGTGCAGAGGACTCGTATCCGCTGCCCGCCATGCAGGAGAAGGGCGGAGATCGCCTAAAGTGAGCTTGGGGCGGAGGGGAGTGGAGTGTAGTGGCTAGGGTTTGGTCCAACAAACGGATGGGGATGAATATATGTGGAGTCGGGGTGGGCCAGTGTGGGTCTGATCTGATATGGCAGAATCCTCATCTCCGCCCTAGATTTGTGCTGGATATGAGGGGTGTCGGTCAGTCCGGATGTTTAGGGCCGGTATGAGGAGCCGGGCTGAGTCGTTTTTTCTTGATCATTCAGTGACCGGGATGTCCGTCCGGGCGTTTTGAGGCGGATATGAGGCGCTCGGCTGTAGATGCTCTTACTTCCGATATTGAAACTTTGTAATATTAGATGGTTGTGTGCATCAATCGGGTAGATGCCAGAAAATTGTAAATCTTTATATGCCCGTGACACTATGAAATGAGCAGGATTTCCATAAAACTTTTAAGGTTCCTTCTCACCTGTAAAGTCTGAATGAAGGAAAGACGCCATGTGAGCTAGCTCAGCAAAGGCCTTCTCTGACTATGCCAATTGGAAGAGCTCATGGAGATGATCAAGTGAAGAACGTCTCTAACTGAGTGGCCCACATTCACTTAATTTGTTCTCTATCATTTTGTCTAACCAGAAGAAGGTGGACTCTCCAGAATGCATTGAACATGCATGAGGCGACATGAATGGTATATGTGGCCACGTGAGGCAATGAAAGGAGTCACTAACTGAAAAAATAATTATTCTGTACATCAAGGATACCGGCAGAACTAACCAGCAAAGATGCTCCCCGTCTGTCCAATAAACACCCGCAGAACTAACCAGCAAAGATGCACCAAGCAAGAGTGTCTTCAAACACAACTGTTAAAACATCTGTCCATTACCGACTAGTTCCACAAATTGCCATCTATCCTACTTCATATAACACCCTGACCAGCTCATGCAATATGGCTCTTGGTACTCTGGTTATCATTGCCACCATGCTGGTGTATTTTCTCTTGAGAAATAAAAGAGTGCTATTGTCCCAGAAGCAACGGGGGCGACGAGGCAGGCTGCCCCCGGGGCCTGCGGCGCTGCCCATCATCGGTAACATGCATCAGGTGATTTTGAACAAGCCGGCGGTATTCCGATGGATCCATGGCCTGCTCAAGGAGATGAACACGGACATCATGTGCCTCCGTCTCGGAGCTACTCATGTCATTGTTGTGGCATGTCCACAGATAGCCTCTGAGGTACTACGAAAAAAAGATGAAGTTTTTGCCTCCCGTCCCACCACCTTCGCCTCGGGCATATTCAGCTTTGGGTACAAGGGCTCCATCTTCTCACCACATGGAAACCAGTGGAAGAAGATGAGGCGTGTCCTCACTGTTGAGATCCTCACCTCGTCCATGGAGAGAAAGCTCTACCACCTCCGGAAAGAGGAGTACGGCCACCTTGTGAGGTACATTAATAAAACTTTTTGCAGCGACATGGCATGTCCAGGCAACATTGTCAATGTCCGTCATGTAACCCAACACTTCGTTGGTAACATGATAAGAAGGGTTGTGTTCGGTAAAAGGTACTTCAGTGACCTACCAACTTCATCCACTAGTGGGCCTGGACATGATGAGGTGGCACATGTTGCCGCTCTCTTCACGGCCCTCAACCATCTCTACAGCTTTTGCGTGTCCGACTACTTCCCAGCCCTCATAGGCCTCGACTTGGATGGCCATGAAAAGGTTTCCAAGGATGCCATGCAAACACACAACCGGTTACATGATCCCATTATAGAGGAGTGGATCCGCGAAAGGTCATCCACTCTTGAGAAATGTGGTGAAAAGAAAGTGGCGAGAGAATTTTTGGACGTCCTGGTTCATCTAAAAGATGCGGAGGGACAACCATTGCTGTCCCTACAAGAAATTAGAGCACAAACAGCGGTTAGTATGTCGCCTTATGCTCAATAGAAAGTTCATGCATTGTTCTTTGAGCCATATTATACATGTATTGACTTTTTTTGTTGTGTTCTACTGATTACTTTATTTATATATATTCTCACATCTATGGATGTAGGAAATGATGTTTGCAGCAGTCGATAACCCATCTAATGCGATTGAGTGGGCACTTGCTGAGATGATGAATGTGCCAGAGATCATGCAAAAAGCAACTGAGGAACTCGACACCGTTGTCGGTAAAGATAGACTAGTCGAAGAGTCTGACATTCCTCGGCTAAACTATCTCAAATCGTGCATCCGGGAGGCCTTCCGCATACACCCATACCATGCTCTTAATGTACCCCATGTCGCAATGGCGGACACAACTGTTGCTGGCTACACAATCCCCAAGGATTGCCACATACTTTTAAGCCGGCTTGGACTTGGCCGCAATCCCAAGATCTGGACTGAACCACTGGAGTTTCAGCCCGAGAGGCATTTGAACACCGTGAATGTACTTCTCACTGATCCAGGCCTACGTTTCATTTCATTTAGCAGTGGGAGGAGGGGCTGTCCTGGGATTTCACTTGGTACCTCTATCACAATGATGTTGTTCGCAAGGCTGTTGCAGGGATTCACTTGGACAAAGCTTCCCGGTGTTAAGAGTATCGGTCTCCAAGAAGGCAATACGGGCCTTGCACTAGCTGAACCCCTTGTTCTGCAAGCTACACCATGGTTGGCTGCACATCTCTATATATGATCCAATTAAAAATATTTAATACGTGGTTTCTCATTTATATATCAATAAAATGTATCTAGAACTAGCGTGTGTTACATGTTTCTGGCACTGTGTTCAGTTCTCTTGTAATGTTATGGCACTGCATGTGTGTACAAACAAAGAAGCAATCGATGTAATACATTTTTTATTACATCTATATGTGTAATGTGTGTACTTATCATTATGTAAAACAAAACCTCTATATTTTCCATTATGGCGTACCATGCAAATAATCCTTGGAATTGCATAAAAGTTTTATGTTTATGTTGTATACATGCCTAGCTGTACAATTGTGTGCCCAGCTTTGACCCCGTCTTACCATTATGTTGTTGGAAATATGCCCTAGAGGCAATAATAAAAGCATTATTATTATATTTCCTTGTTCATGATAATTATCTTTATTCATGGTATAATTGTGTTATCCGGAAATCGTAATACATGTGTGAATAACAGACACCAACATGTCCCTAGTGAGCCTCTAGTTAACTAGCTCGTCGATCAATAGATAGTCATGGTTTCCTGACTATGGACATTGGATGTCATTGATAACGAGATCACATCATTAGGAGAATGATGTGATGGACAAGACCTAATCCTAAACATAGCACAAGATCGTATAGTTCGTTTGCTAGAGTTTTCCAATGTCAAAGTATCTTTTCCTTAGACCATGAGATCGTGTAACTCCGGATACCGTAGGAGTGCTTTGGGTATACCAAACGTCACAACGTAACTGGGTGACTATAAAGGTAGACTACGGGTATCTCCGAAAGTGTCTGTTGGGTTGACATGGATCAAGACTGGGATTTGTCACTCCGTATGACGGAGAGGTATCACTGGGCCCACTCGGTAATGCATCATCATAATGAGCTCAGAGTGACCAAGTGTCTGGTCACGAGATCATGCATTATGGTACGAGTAAAGTGACTTGCCGGTAACGAGATTGAACGAGGTATTGGGATACCGACGATCGAATCTCGGGCAAGTAACATATCGATTGACAAAGGGAATTGAGTACGGGGTTGATTGAATCCTCGACATCGTGGTTCATCTGATGAGATCATCGTGGAGCATGTGGGAGCCAACATGGGTATCTAGATCCCGCTGTTGGTTATTGACCGGAGAGTCATCTCGGTCATGTCTGCTTGTCTCCCGAACCCGTAGGGTCTACACACTTAAGGTTCGGTGACGCTAGGGTTATGAAGATATGTATATGCAGAAACCTGAATGTTGTTCGGAGTCCCGGATGAGATCCCGGACGTCACGAGGAGTTCCGGAATGGTCCGGAGGTAAAGAATTATATATAGGAAGTGTTGTTTCGGCCATCGGGACAAGTTTCGGGGTTATCGGTATTGTACCGGGACCACCGGAGGGGTCCCGAGGGCCCACCGGGTGGGGCCACCTGTCCCGGGGGGCCACATGGGCTGTAGGGGGTGCGCCTTGGCCTTCATGGGCCAAGGGCACCAGCCCCTATAGGCCCATGCGCCTAGGGTTTCCACCTAGGAGGAGTCCTAGTGGTGGAAGGCACCCCTAGGTGCCTTGGGGGGGAGGGAAACCTCCCCTTGGCCGCCGCCCCCCTAGTAGATCTCATCTACTAGGGCCGGCGCCCCCCGCATGGCAGCCCTATATATAGTGGGGGGGAGAGGAGGGAAACAGACCAGCCCCTGGCGCCTCCCTCTCTCCCCGTTACGTCTCCCTCTCGTAGTCTCGGCGAAGCCCTGCTTCTGTGACGCCCTGCATCCACCACCACGCCGTCGTGCTGCTGGATCTTCATCAACCTCTCCTCCCCCCTTGCTGGATCAAGAAGGAGGAGACGTCTCCCGTCCCGTACGTGTGTTGAACGCGGAGGTGCCGTCCGTTCGGCGCTTGGTCATCGGTGATTTGGATCACGTCGAGTACGACTACATCATCACCGTTCTTTAAACGCTTCCGCTCGCGATCTACAAGGTACGTAGATGCATCCGATGACTCGTTGCTAGATGAACTCCTAGATGGATCTTGGTGAAACGAGTAGGAAAATTTTTGTTTTCTGCAACGTTCCCCAACAGTGGCATCATGAGCTAGGTCTATGCGTAGTTCTTCTTGCGCGAGTAGAACACAATTTGTTGTGGGCGTAGATTTGTCAACTTTCTTGCCGTTACTAGTCTTTTCTTGCTTCAGTGGTATTGTGGGATGAAGCGGCCCAGACCAACCTTACACGTAGGCTTACGTGAGACCGGTTCCACCGACTAACATGCACTAGTTGCATAAGGTGGCTGGCGGGTGTCTGTCTCTCCTACTTTAGTTGGAGCGGATTCGATGAACAGGGTCCTTATGAAGGGTAAATAGAAGTTGACAAATCACGTTGTGGCTTTAACGTAGGTAAGAAGACGTTCTTGCTAGAACCCTAATTCAGCCACGTAAAACTTGCAACAACAATTAGAGGACGTCTAACTTGTTTTTGCAGCAAGTGGTTTGTGATATGATATGGCCAAACTTGTGATGAATGATGAATGATCTATATGTGATGTATGAGATGTTCATGCTATTGTAATAGGAATCACGACTTGCATGTCGATGAGTATGACAACCGGCAGGAGCCATAGGAGTTGTCTTTATTTTTTGTATGACCTGCGTGTCATTGAAGAACGCCATGTAAACTACTTTACTTTATTACTAAACGCGTTAGTCATAGAAGTAGAAGTAGTCGTTGGCGTGACAACTTCATGAAGACACGATGATGGAGATCATGATGATGGAGATCATGGTGTCAAGTCGGTGACAAGATGATCATGGAGCCCCAAGATGGAGATCAAAGGAGCTATGTGATATTGGCCATATCATGTCATGTTTATTATTTTGATTGCATGTGATGTTTATCATGTTTTGCATCTTGTTTACTTAGAACGACGGTAGTAAATAAGATGATCCCTCATACTAATTTCAAGAAGTGTTCCCCCTAATTGTGCACCGTTGCGACAGTTCGCTGTTTCAAAACACCACGTGATGATCGGGTGTTTTATTCAGACGTTCACATACAACGGGTGTAAGATAGATTTACACATGCAAACACTTAGGTTGACTTGACGAGCCTAGCATGTACAGACATGGCCTCGGAACACAGAAGACCGAAAGGTCGAGCATGAGTCGTATAGAAGATACGATCAACATGAAAATGTTCACCGATGTTGACTAGTCCGTCTCACGTGATGATCGGACACGGCCTAGTTAACTCGGATCATGTAATACTTAGATGACTAGAGGGATGTCTAATCTAAGTGGGAGTTCACTAATAATTTGATTAGTTGAACTTAATTATCATGAACTTAGTCTAAATATTTTACAATATGTCTTGTAGATCAAATGGCCAACGTAGTCCTCAACTTCAACGCGTTCCTAGAGAAAACTAAGCTGAAAGACGATGGCAGCAACTACACGGACTGGGTCCGGAACCTGAGGATCATCCTCATAGCTGCCAAGAAAGATTATGTCCTACAAGCACCGCTTGGTGACGCACCCGTTCTCCCTGCAGAACAAGATGTTATGAACGCTTGGCAGGCACGTACCGATGACTACTCCCTCGTTCAGTGCGGCATGCTTTACAGCCTAGAGCCGGGGCTCCAAAAGCGTTTTGAGAGACATGGAGCATATGAGATGTTCGAAGAGCTGAAAATGGTTTTCCAAGCTCATGCCCGGGTCGAGAGATATGAAGTCTCCGAAAAATTCTTCAGCTGTAAGATGGAGGAAAATAGTTCTGTCAGTGAGCACATACTCACTATGTCTGGGTTACATAACCGCTTGACTCAGCTGGGAGTTAATCTCCCGGATGATGCGGTCATTGACAGAATCCTCCAGTCGCTTCCACCAAGCTACAAGAGCTTTGTGATGAACTTCAATATGCAGGGGATGGAAAAGACCATTCCTGAAGTATTTGCTATGCTGAAATCAGCAGAGGTAGAAGTCAAGAAGGAACATCAAGTGTTGATGGTCAATAAAACCACTAAGTTCAAGAAAGGCAAGGGTAAAAAGAACTTCAAGAAGGACGGCAAGGAGGTTGCCGCGCCCGGCAAGCAAGCTGCCGGGAAGAAGCCAAAGAATGGACCCAAGCCCGAGACTGAGTGCTTTTATTGCAAGGAAAGCGGTCACTGGAAGCGGAACTGCCCTAAGTACTTAGCGGACAAGAAGGCCGGCAAAACAAAAGGTATATGTGATATACATGTAATTGATGTGTACCTTACTAGTGCCCGTAGTAGCTCCTGGGTATTTGATACCGGTGCAGTTGCTCACATTTGTAACTCAAAGCAGGGGCTGCGGAATAAGCGGAAACTGGCAAAGGACGAGGTGACGATGCGCGTCGGGAATGGTTCCAAGGTCAATGTGATCGCCGTCGGCACGCTGCCTCTGCATCTCCCTTCGGGATTAGTTTTAAACCTTAATAATTGTTATTTAGTGCCAGCTTTGAGCATGAACATTGTATCGGGATCTCGTTTAATTCGAGATGGCTACTCATTTAAATCCGAGAATAATGGTTGTTCTATTTATATGAGAGATATGTTTTATGGTCATGCTCCTATGGTGAATGGTTTATTCTTTATGAATCTCGAACGTGATGCTACACATGTTCACAATGTGAGTACCAAAAGAAGTAAGGTTGATAATGATAGTCCCACATACTTGTGGCACTGCCGCCTTGGTCACATAGGTGTCAAACGCATGAAGAAACTCCATGCTGATGGACTTTTAGAGTCTCTTGATTATGAATCATTTGACACATGCGAACCATGCCTTATGGGAAAAATGACCAAGACTCCATTCTCAGGAACAATGGAGCGAGCAACCAACTTATTGGAAATCATACATACTGATGTGTGCGGTCCAATGAGTGTTGAGGCTCGCGGTGGCTATCGTTATGTTCTCACCCTCACTGATGATTTAAGTAGGTATGGGTATATCTACTTAATGAAACACAAGTCTGAAACCTTTGAAAAGTTCAAGGAATTTCAGAG